TTTTTTTTTTTTTTTTTTTGATAAATGTTTAGTTCTTAAAAGTTTAAGACTTCACGAATTTTTTTCCCATCCTAAAAGAATATTCTTGCTTTGAACGTTTTTGGCCGAAAAGACTTCTCCTTTCAACCTTCATCTTTTGTCCAGCTTTAACCTTTCATTGTACGTTGCACTGTAATTGGAAATTTTCCATTCTTCCTATAGTTTCTGCGAAAATCGTCTTTTCTCTTTTTGTTTTTGATTTCCTCTTGAAAGTATTTTTTCGAAACTTAAATGTGTCGAAATGTTTCTTGCCGCTACACTGGGGATCTTATTTTTTGATATTGTTAGATCAACCTATATGATGAAGATTATATTTTTTTTTTTGTTTGCACCTTGACGTATAGATGTGTAACTCATTTTCTACCTATGTTTGGCATAGCTGTTAAGTGGGTTTCAATTTTAGCAGCAGCTTTTTACTTGATATAGTTGTTCAACTTTTAAACGTTTTAATGCTGACTTTGGAGGGTAAATTTTACGGCATCAGATGGTATCTTTGTTTGTCGTATAGTTCCGCGTACAGTAATTCGTTTTATCTTTTTGTTTCCGCCCAATTTATTCTAAGCTGTTGGCCTAAAATCCAGTGACAGATTTTGCTCGACAACTGCAAAATTGAAAGCTCTAGAGATGTTCTTTCTGAATTCGGGACAGTAACTCTAACGAAAACAGCGGTTGATTGCTTCTTCAAATCCTCTATTTCGAGAGCTAGTTCAATCAATAATTATTTTCAAGAACGGCTAGAGTTTAGCTGTATCTGCAGAAAAAATGACTTCTTTATTGGCGTTAGCACTGATACAGTTATTATTTAATTGCCGGAACTTTTGTTGCTGATAGTTGTTCGTAAAGGCGAATGTTCTATTTTACTTTCTATTCTTCAAAGGGTTTCAAGCTAGGTTCCGCTGTAATTGAACATTTAAAAGGCACCAAGATAATGCAGTAAGGTAAAGGAAAATGGAAAAGAAATTGGTACTAAATGTGTTGAACGTTAGAATAACTGTATGTTGCTATGTAAACAGTAGAAAAAAAACCTTTTTTATATTTATATTTTTTTTTCCCCTACAAAATGTAATGCAGAATAAGCAACTTTTGCCGCTGAAGCCTAAAAACTCTCCAAATACAGGTACACAGGAGCTACCAGACAATTTGAGAAACCGTCATTCAGTTGAGGAATGAACAGCAAAAAACTGAAGGTTGAGTCAAGTGTTTTTGATGGTTTTCAGTTTTGGTCATTTACACTATGATCTTTGCTCACTAATGACAAGTGCTTTTCACGGGCAGTTTTTTTATACGATTCGTTTGCTTTTTTTCGGCAATACCTTTGCATTTTGTAAAATTATTGTGACTAATTCAACAGTTTCAATGATTTCGTCACATAATTTATAGCTTTT